CCTGCAGCTTTAAAACTGCAATGTGCAATGTTTGACCAGTGCAGCTTGGTCATTTTGGGAGCTTTGCTTGGAGCTTTCATGTTCTGAGAGGATCTGGGGTGACCCAATTGCACCTTCCAGGACCTGAAGGGGTGACAGGAAAAACAGAGATTTTACAAAGGTCTGAACACAGGGAGTGGATTCAGACTGACCAAGGGCAGGGGTGGGTGGGATTTTGGGAAGGAATTATTCCCTGGGAGTTGGGGAGGGGCTGGGATGGAATTCCCAGAGGAGCTGGGGCTGCCCCTGGATCCCTTGGAACACCCAGGGACAGTGGGAGGTGTCCCTGCCATGGCAGAGGTGACACTGGATCATTTTGGATCATTTTATGCTCCCTTCCCACCCAAACCATTCCATGATTCCATGAATGTTTTTGAGTTTTATTCATGCAGCAAACAAGCAGGTTTGGTTAAATAAAAGGACTGATTATTAAATGCTGCTTAGAGGACAATATTTTAATTAAATTTTATTGTTATGTATCTCTTAAATCTGACAGGAATACTCAAACAATGCCATTGACAGAGGAGGAGATGAATCTGCTGCATTCTCCAATTGTGTAAAAACCTTTAAAACATTGCAAACAGGTCAGATTCCCCTTTCTAGGAAAAAAAATCCCTTGGCTTTGTTTGTTTTTTAAATAAGTAATTTAAAAATAAATATAAATGTAAATAGATATTTATATTTTAAAATAATTTTATTTTTAAAATAGTTTCTATTTATTATAAATAAATAAGAAACTAATATAAATAAATGAAATATAAAATAAATATTGTGTGGGATAAGGTTTTGTCTCTTTGCTAAGTCTAGTAACTGCTATTAATCACCACTGAATGACCTCCTTGTGGCATCCTGCTAATGACATGGAAAACAGGATTACCAAGGAAAGGAATGTCTATTAAAAAAAATTAATCCCACCCCAAAACTTCAGAAAGCCTCGAACAGCAGAATAGAATCTCTGATTTTTAGAGGAGTTCTACACTTTTTAACTGAAACTTGGGGGAAGAGTTGGTCATTTTTAATCTGTTTCTTCTTTAATTTTTTCATAAATCCAGAGTGAAATTCCTGGCTGGCCTCATGTGAACTTGGTGTTTTGCTGATTATTTGGGTGGTGATTTTTAGGAGAACATTTCCATCTCTTGCAAAACCTCTCTGTACCACTCCCCCTTCACTCAGCTTTTCCTTTCCTTTTATTCCAACAGAGACAACTGACATTCAGAGCTCCAAAACACCAAAGAAGAAAAAAGTCACTTTTGGGGAAGTTTTGAGCCCCGAAATTTTTGACCAGAGCCTTCCTGCCAACACCCCCTTACGCAGAGGAGCCTCCCCAGGCTGTCCCCAAGGGCAGAGCCCCTGGGCCAGGCCAGGCCTCTCTGGGGAGCCTTTGCCCCTCCTGGATTTTGGTTGGGATGAGGTGAGTTCGTTCTTCTCAATTCTTTGTTCATTTTCCACCCCTGCTGAGGGGTTTGGAGCACAAACCCTGGGAGGAGCAGCTGAGGGAGCTGGGGTTGTTTATCCTGGAGCAAAGGACACTCAGGGCTGATTTTATCACTCTCCACAGCTCCTGAAAGGTGGCTGTGTCACCTGGGCTTGGGCTCTGTCTCCAGGCAGCTCTGACACAGCCCCAAGCTGTGCCAAGGCAATTTAGGTTGGATATTAGGAAAAAAAAATTCACTTTTTCTTAATATCCAGCCTAAAAGATTGATAAAATACTGGAATGTTCTGCCCAGGGAGGTGGTGGAGTCACCAGCCCTGGGTGTGTTAAATAAAGCCTGGATGTGGCTCTGGGTGCCAGGGGTCACTGGAGGGCTTGGGCTGGGTTGGACTCGATGATCTTGGAGGTCTCTTCCAACCTGGGCACTCTGTTTTGTAAAGAAATTGCTGAAATTTAAAAGCAAAAAAGTCTTCTTGGAGTTATAAACTCACACTGAGAGGTTGAGTTTTTAGGAATTCTGAGCAGCTGTTTTAGGTTTCTGAACCTCGAAATGTTTTTTTTCCTTCGCTTTTTCTCATATTTTGCTGCTGTGTTTCTTTTTGCCACACACAGCAAAGGAATTTTCTTTAAGGAACCAAAACAAAACCACTTTATCTACAAACACTGATGGGCAAAGTCCATCAAATATCTGCTGTAATTTATTACTAAAAAATGTCATTTTTTTTTGTTTGAAGGAAGGTGTTGAGACTCTCCCAGAATTCCTGGAAGGTTCTGCTGCTGCACAAGCCCCTTCACCTGTTGAAAATGCAGAAGGTAACCCCAGCTTGTGTTTTTATCACTAGAAAATGAAGCTTTTTGTACCTGAAAATTGACACTTGAGGGTTTTGGTTTTTTTTTCTGTTTGTATTTTTTAGTACAGGGGATATATTTCAATAAAATGCTAAAATGTGAATGCTAGCATTTAAATTTTTCTTCTGAAGCTCCTTGCAGTAGTTTCAGTGTTTACCTGAGCTTTAGTTATTTAAGTTATTTAAATTTGTGATATTTTTCTGTACAAATTTTACTGTTTAAAGTAGTTTTTTTTTTTTTTTTTAGAATCTTGATTCTGATACTGTAATTTTGATGATTTTTTTTAAATAACAACCCAACAACAAAAGAATTGAAAGTGGCTTGTGCATATTTATCTATGCAAGCTGTACATGTTCTAATTATTGTTACCAAATCTCCCCAAGATGAGTTTTTCTCTATTTTGTGGAGCAAAGTAGAATTTTTTTATCTTGCCATGTTTGATAGTGCTCAAGATTAAGTTTCTACTCAAGACTAAAATGGCTGGAGTGAATAATATCAGAAATGATGTGAATAATTTCTTCAAAATGTGATTAACTTGCATTGAAACTGATTAAAAATCCCTTTTTTTAAATTTTTTTTATTTATAGTAGCAGAGACTGACAAACCTGACATAACTTGTTCCTCTACTAAAAGGAAGGTGAGTTTCCTTAGTGATAAAGTTTAATTTGGTTTTTTTTTGAACTTTTTCAGCCAGAATTCTTTTCTTTTATCCCTCTTGATGCATAAAAAAAAGTTTTTTCCATCCTCAGGTATGAGAATTATCTATATCCAACTATATGGAAATACCTCCTGTTAGTGCCTTGAGAAAATGAGATTTTTCAATGAAAATGATTTTCCACTTATTAAAAATACAGCCTGATACTTAAATTGACAATTTCTATTGAATTTTCTGGCAGCTTTTCCAAATCATCTGACCAAAAGTTTTGGTTGCTGGAATTTCAAGGCACAGAATTGGTTGTACAAGAAGTGATTTCACACTGCAGTGTTGGACAGCTCTGGTGGGGAGGGGAAGGCAAACAAAAGACAGGAATGGAAAAAAAAAAAAAAGAAATGGAAAAAAAGAAAAAACTGGAGATGAAAACTGATTTTATTTTTATTATCATACAAACAGGACTTGATTGTACTGTGGGAAATGAATCTTTAATATTGAATTTCCAGTTATGCCAACCCTTAATGAGATGATAGAGATGAATTCCATTTTGATTTTTGTGCCTCTTGGGCTCTGGTGGGTGCCCCCAATAACCCCAAATCCTGTTCCCAGCAGGGCAGGGCCGTGGCAGAGGACTCTGAGGGGAGCAGCTCAGGAGCCACAGACACTGAGAGTGCCCAAATCATCCCTGAGAGTGTCCCCATGGTGGCTGAGAGTGTCCCCATGGTGGCTGAGAGTGTCCCCATGGTGGCTGAGAGTGTCCCCATCATCACTGACAGTCCAAGAAAGAGCAAGATCCAGAAACAGAAAAATCCAACCACAGCTGCTCCCAAGAGGACCAAGGTGGGTTCCAGCCATTGCAGTTGCTGAATTCTGCTTTTATTTTATTTTTTTAAAAATTATTTTTATTTATTTTTCTCTCCAAGCATCTCTCTTTGTGTCTTCCAGGATTATTTTGATCTTCCTGTTGCTGCCAATATTTTCTTCTTCATCCCCATCTTGTTTTCCTGCATTTCCTGCCCCATCCCTCTTCCTTAATGGCTTGAGGGCTTGAATTCTTGTAGGGCCAAAAAAAAATTTTTTTTTTTTTTGGAGAGAGGTGTTTGTGTGTCACTTTTCAGACTTGAGGACCAACAAAAGAGTTTTTGGTTCTTCCCTTACCAAATTCTTGCAGAGCCATGTTAGAAAAGTCATTCTTTTTTTGCTTTTGAGTTTTTAGATGATTCTGTAGCTGGCAGAAGAAGTGGAACCTTCCTTTTGTTGTCATCCATCAAAATCCAGTAATGGGCTCACTTATTGAAAAATATTGTAGAGGGTGATGAAAATTTCACTGTGCTTTATTCTCCTTCTCAATCTTTTCAGAAAACAAAATACCCAGGCTTTGGGAAAAGAAGAAAGAAAAGAGTCAAGAAATCTTTGTATGGGGAAAGAGAAATGGCTTCTAAGAAACCCCTTCTCAGCCCTATCCCTGAAATTCCAGAGGTTTTCTCTTCTGCCTCATCTCCAAACTCACCACTTTTTACAGGTAATTTGTGTTTTTGTTTTGTTTTGCTTTGCTCCTTCTGCTCCTTTATTTCAACAGTTACACAAAAATATTTTTTTACTTTTAATTGCTTCTCTAATAGCAGAGTCTGGAGGATTTAATCAATTAATAATGTCCAGCTGATAAATCCAGTTCTTGTTGGACTCCAGTGTAAATCTGATAATAAATCCACCTCTTTATGAAAATAGCAGCACACAAAGTCATCTTTAAGCTGCTGAGTCGGCCATGAAGAGTTCAGGGATGTGCAGAACTTTCTGTTGGGTTTGTCCCCCACTGCTTATCTGGGGTGGTTGTTTAAAAGGTTATTTTTGTATAGGTGAATAAGTGAGAGAGGTGGAAGTGAAAACAAAAAAGGAGGAGGTGACAGTGGCAGGAAGGGGGAGGTGACAGTGGTAAAATTGCTGTGAGAAATAAAACACCACGAAGCTTTTCTTGTACTAGCCAGAAGGTTTTGTAAGTGAATTAACCCTGTCCACGTGTTTGCTCTTGTGCAGAGGGTGCAGGTTTGGGTAACCCCAAATGCAGGGGTGCCTGCAGGGACAGGGACACCCCCCAGCAGCCCCAGGCTGCCAGGATCCGTGCCAAGGGGCTCTGTGCAGCTGCTGGCTGCCCAAAGACCGAGCTCCTGGAGGAGGCAGCAGCCACCAGCTCTGGGCCTGGAGTCCCCGAGGTGCCAGGGAGCCTGGAGTGTGCTCCTGGCACTGCTGCTCAGGTACCTGCTGGGCTGGGGACACAGGGCTGGGGTCTGGAGGGAAAACAAGGGGTGGGATTAAACTGTGGGGACCAGGCAGCCTGGAGGCCATGGAATCTCCATCCTTGGGGAGGGGGTTTTGGGCATTCAGAGCTCAGCTGAGCCTCTTGAGTAACCTGGGGGTAGAATTGGATGATCTTGGATCATCTTTAAGGTTTCTTCCAACCTCGATCATTCCAGCATTCCCTGCTTTCCTAAGTTTGGCCTCACACTGAAACACATTGCAGCCTGCAGGATTCCCTGTCAGGTGTTGGGATTTGGGACACTGACATGGTGAGGAGAAGAGTTGCCAGTTCAGCTGTTTGAAACCAGTTTTTTTATGGATTACTTCTTGCCTAAAAAAAATTAAGAATTATTTCTTTACCCCCCAGTTTTCAAATGCTGTGCCACATGCAGAAGGTGATTTTGATGCAGCTGAGTATTTTCAGCAAGGTGAAGAGACTCCGTGTGATAAAGAAGCAAAAGAAAGCAGTTCCTTGTTAGAAAAGGAGGAATTAGAAGGAAATCTCCTAACTGGACTGGAAATTCTGGACCAACAGGAGAGAACCAAGTGTCCACAGAAGGATTCTGTCAGAGGTGATCCAGCAAGGAGAAGAAGAAGAAGAAGCAGCAGCTCCTTCTACTTCCCTCCTGTTGAAAACATGGAAATAACTGGGGCTGATCTTTGCTCTTACAACGTGGAAGAAGTTTTGTCAGTGTCCCAGGCACACGAGGGGTCCCTGCAGGGCTGCAGGAGGAGGAGCAGAGCCAGTGCAGAGCTCAGGGTGAGGCGCAGCATGAGGCTGAGCAGGGATGAACAAAACGAGGGACTTGCGTGGATCCAGCTCCCCACGGAGCTTCCCAAAGGCAGGAGAAGCATCAGCACATCCATCCTGGCAGGATCTGAGAATATTCAGGTCAGGGAGCAAAACCCCCTCCCCTTGCCAGCCCCAGGGAAGGAGAATGAGGGCTCTGCTCCTGCCAGGAGGTGGAGGAGGAGGAGCCTCTGTGAAGCCACAGCTCCAGAAATGCCCTGGGCTCCCAGCCAGAGGAGGAGAAGCACAAATTCTGCGTGTGGGAAGGACAGGAGGAACCCAAAACACTCAGAAGAAGCAGAAACTCTTGAGCTAAGATTGAAAGATGTTTCAGGCATCTCTGATTTTCTGAAGTGAAAGTGCTTCTTAGAGCTTGTGTTGTCTCTCAAGTGCAGTTTCTTTCTCTTTCCCACTTTGTATTTCCTCACTTATTTTCTTACTCATTTTCCTTGTCTTGGTGCCTCAAATGCTTGAAGATCTGAACGGCAGACTGGCTCAGAGCATTGGTCTGGTACAGTTATGGTAGGTAATGAAGAGAATAAAATTCTTCTCCCTGATAAATGTGGTTTGTTTTTAGGAGTTAAACCAGGATGTCAAATGTGTCCTTTAGCTCCTATTGCTCCAAGGGTTTGTTTCCCATGTGCTTGACCGTTCCCTACAAATTGCTGTTGAAATCTGCATATATTTAGTGTATAAATGCACTAAAATGAGATTGTCTGCAACAAATAAAGGAATCACTTCTTGAAAGGGATGAGGAGGAAGTGAGGATATTGTTTCTATCTTCTGAAAAGGCTTTGGCCATGAGCAGAGGTGGAGTTCCTTAGAGTAAGATTTTGTGTTGGAGTTCATGAATGATTCTCTGATGTAAAGGGTGGTCATTAAAGGAAAAAAAAAGCTTTTAATTCTTTATTGTGTATCGAATTCAGCTGGCAAATGGAATTGGCTGAGGGGAGAGAAGCTGTGCTTCATTTCCAGTAGTTCCCAGCCCTGTGTGTGTGTCCTGAGTCCATCCCCTGTTGGCCCCATCGTTTTCCTGTTTGCACTTTTGTGCTTGGAGCAATGGAATAAAGAGTGAGGACTGCAGGTGCTCTGCTCCAAGGTTTGCTGCTGCTTTCATTTTTCATCCTGAGCTGTTCCAGCCCAGAGGGATCCCCGTGCCAGCCTGGAGGAAATGGCTTTGTGTCTGACACAGTCCCTTCTGTGACCTGGTTTTAACCAGGAGTGATGTGGGATAAAAATCCTTTATGTACTTGGCTGCTTTTATAGAGCTTGAAAGCAACCAGAGCACTTGGATTTTTTTATACCTCTTTCTCCCAAGACAAGAATTCCTAAAGCAACTTGAAAGAAACTGCACTATTTAAGTGGTGTTTGAGTTACAGAATCATTGGGGTTGGAAAAGAGCTTTAAGATCAGAGTCCAGCACTGCCCTGTGGCCCATAAACCACATCCCCAAGTGCCACATCTCCATGTCTTAAATCCCTCTAAAAACAGTTGCCTGAATGTTTGATTTGGGGATTTGCTTTTGGGTTAGGTTTGGGAGCAGTGTGGGGAAGAGTTCTTGGGTTGGATGCTGTGCTTGGCTGCCAGGAGAGGGCAGCCTGGGCTGAGCTTTCTGCTTGGAAGAAAAGAAAATATCGTGGACAAAATCTGAGAGGCTGGCTGAGGTTAAAATGTAAAGCTCAGAAAATGAGTAAATCAGTAAAAATCGCTGCTCCTTTTACTGTTCAAAACACGGCAGCAACTGAACTGGGCACTGGAATTAAACTGGAGAAGTGAAATGATGATGGACTGGAATCAGGTGGGAGTTTTATATGGAAATCATCTTTAAAGTTGTCCTTGAGCTGTCTGGTTGTCTCTGTGCAGCTTTTAGGTCCCAAATCCAGCACGGGGTGACACTGGGGCTGTCACATCCCCAATATCACACTGGGATAGTGAGATCAAAGTTGTGCTGGAGGAAGAGGCAATAAATTCCAGTGTTTGATACGAGATGGGTGAATCCCAGCTGCTGCCCAGAGCTGGGTTTGAGGGATGCTCAGCCCCAGCAGCACAGGGACCTCGAGGTTCCCTGAGGAGCTCCAAGTGCATTTCCCTGGAGGGTGGGAGTGAAGAACAAGGGTAAGGAGAGGAAAACAAAACTTGGGTTTTCCTCCTGGCATAGCTGGGTGGAAAAGGATTGTTGGGACTCATTTGTGGGTGCTTGATGGCAGGGTGAGGAAACCCTTGTACAAGAAATGAAGAGGTTGCAGTTCCTTCCAAGAGATATTTCTACTTTATGGTGCATTTTAGTTCGTTTTATCCTTCTCTGGATAGAATTTATCCTCAAAATATTTTATCTCCTTAAGCTGGAGAGGGCTTGAACAAGTCCAAGGTGCAGAGGTGGGAGGCAATAATCTGTTCTCCATACCTGCACTCAAAGGGACAAGAAATGTGTTTAAATCAGAGCAAAACATCTCTGTTAAACATTAAGGGAAAGTTCTCACTGATGGCCAAGCAGGGGAATGGAGGGCCTGGGGAAGTGTGGAATCTCCATCACTGGAGGCCTTGAGGAACAGATTAAACAAATATCTGTCAGGAATGACAGATGATCCTTCCTGGGGTAGGGATAGGCTGGGATGGCCTCTGGAGGCTCAGGCTGTGTTTTCTGATTGTGGAGATTGCAGAACAGCCCAGAGCTGGGATGGAATCCGTGGTGGAGCTGGGGAATGGCTCAGTGGGGGAACTGGAATTTGGGAGAGCTCCTCATTTGCAGCGTTTTGGGGTTTTAAAGATCCAGATGTCACCTGAGTGCCTGCTGTGCCTTGGAGCAGGAGCTCACTGAGCTCCTGGAACTCGGGGAGCTCCACGTGGTGTCTGTGGTGTCACACAGGTGGGAACAGCAGCGTTATTCCATGGTCACATCTGCTTTTCCAAAATCAACATTTCCCTGGGAACGGCCAGCAGTTCCCTGGGGCTGTGTCCTGCCTTAGGGGCCGTGCTGGGGGTAGGAAATGAGCTCAAGGTGTGTGACAGCAGAGGGGGATTTTATCAGTTTGTGTTCTGGTTCTTTATCAGCTGATGGTTCTCCAGTCTGGTTCTGGGTATTCCAGTGGTTTTATCCCATTTTTATGTGCTGAGCTCCAGCTCAGACCGTGTTTTATAGTGGCACCCAAATAAATCCATGGCACTGCCATTCCCCTTCCACAGCCAGGCTCTCCTCCCTTTGGAAGGCTTTTATAAAGATGAATTTGTGTTTTAAAAACACTTCCCTACTTTAATTTGTGTGGACTTAGAAATGACTTCAAGCAGGTCTAAGCCAGCCCTGGGTGGGGATTGGTGAATAATTGCATTTAGCAGCTCCCCACGTAATTACTGCTCTGACTGGCAGGGAGGACGAGTGCTGGGGCCTGCAAAGGCTGATTGTTTTGCAGCTCTGTAATTATGATGTTGTTAATAAGTTAGAATAATTACACATCACTTTTGTGAAGTGCAGTGGTGACAGATTTTCAGAGCCTGGTATCTGGCAGCTGTTTCATAGTTGGAAAAGTCTCTGCTTCGCTTTGCTCAAGGTACAAAGAACAATCCTTACCCCTCAATTCTCCAGGAGGTTTTCAAGGGAAAGTGTTAATGTTTCCCAGGAATTATTTTATGCCAATATTTTGCCTTAATTAAGGTGCACATAAGTTGTAAAAGTGGGGATGAGATGGCCAAATTTCTCCCATATGAGTTAATAAAAGTTAAAGAAGTAATAGTTTTCTCATCCTCACCTGATAAGCAAAGGAAAAAAATAACAAGAACTGTATATGCCATTTTTTTTTATTTCCCTTTAAAATAATTGGAAATAAATCTGGTTTTCAGCTAATTTTTCTCTACTTTCTCCTGAATCATGAGCAACAGAAGATGCTGAAACATCTGAGTGCTGCCTAGAAAAGTCACTGTTGTGGGTTCATCTTCATCCAGCTGGTTCAGAAATGTTTAGGAAGTTTGTGCTGGACTCTTCTTCCTCCTCCCTGTGAATCCTTTCACTCTTAGACCTGGAGAGATTTTAGTGCTGACCAGGGAATCAAACAGCAAAGAGTTGTCAGAGCTGTGGACGAGGAGAAAGGAGGAAATTGAAGAAGAATGGCAGGGATGGCTTCAACACAAAAAATACCAACGGGCAGGGGAAGAAACTTCATTCTCCAGCTGCCAGCAGGTAGCACTGGAAATAAATAAAAAATAATGGGGAATTCCTTCCACATGGTTTTAAAGTGAGGAGGTAAAATCAGAATGTTTTAAGTCAAAGTAAGGTCCAATTTCCAATGTCCCAGTGGAGGAGCTGGGCCTGTGATGGGAGACAAGCAGCCTAATGTATTAGTTTAGTAATTAACTCCTGTAAATTGTGCAGAACAGAGCAATTAACTGCTTTAGCCAGGCTGGGGAAGGGAGGGTGGGGGGGAGAGAGCAGGAAAAACCTGTGTGCTCTGGGAGTGAGGGCATGGAACAGATCCCCTAAGCCAGGCCTGCAAAAGCCACTGTTAGTCTTGGGTTATTTCCAGTGACCCCTTGACTCCCATCTTCCTGCCCCCTGCCCAGGCTCGGGGCTGGTCAGGCAGCTCTGTTTTTGGAAGGCAGAGGAGACAGATATAATGAATGGCTTTTATTGTGCAATATTTCAACCCCTTTTTTTTTTTTTTTTTTTTTTTTTTTTTTTTTGCCTGAGTTCGGATGGGATGGAAAATGTTCCACCCCTCACCACGGCCAAGATAAATAAAACCTATTCCCTAAACCTGGCTGTGTGCTGCACTCAAACTGGCAGTAGTTAGAGCTCCACTCTTAAACAAGAATTTAGTTTGACAATTTTTAGGCCTTGTTGGGCTGAATGTAACGGCCAAAGAAAATACTTGGAGGGAAAAAAAAAATTAAATAATACATATATTTACAGCTTGCAGGTGGCATTCATTTTTTTGGGGGTCAGACTTTTTAGG